ACTTTTAGAACTTCTACATATACAATGACTTTGGGTTATATGCAGCAATCTTCTGTGGTATCCAGTTAATAATCTTCCATGCAACAATGGCAGAGATATCATATTTTATTTGTTCACCTTTATTAAAAAAACAAAAAACAAACCTCCCCATCCCTGAGATGTAAGTGAATTTTTGTCTTTTTATTACCAGCATGCTCACCGGGCAGAATGTACTGGATTAAGAGATTTTCCCCTTGTCATTCACTGCCCCAGAAAATGCATCCATATGGGAATGGTTAGTAGCAGACATTTTCAACCACAAACTGTCAGTCATCCACCTTCCTTTCATAGACAGACAATGGAAGCATATTTGAACATCATGCCTTCTTTCTGTATCCCTGCTTCCCTCAGAAAAGCTCTACAAATAGTTCCATGTTGTTGCAGTTCCTTAGGCTCCCACCTCATTCCTACATTTCCCAAGCTCAAAGCTTGGAAGAACATGATTCACTGATGTGTTAGCAAGAATTCCAGACACTGTGTTCATTCCAGCAGGGCACCACAGTCTGCCACAAGTGGACCAGGACCAGGTCCCATATTCCTCCACAAGCTGCTTCATGAGCACAGCTTAGGACATCTCCAAGGAGACAACATTATGTGTGGTGTCCCTGACCCTACTCTCCAGTCAATACAGAGAGGGCACCCTCCCATCCTCGTGAATCCTCTGGTGAGCAGAGAGATCCTTTTGTTTGCTGAAGCAGTCTCCGCAAGTGTCACAAATGTAAGGCCTATCCCCTCGGTGCTCCTTCTGGTGCTTATAAAAATTGGACGGGTCCCCAAAGGTTTTCCCACAGTCTGTACACGGGTAGGGCTTCTCAGTCACGTGGCTCCTCTGGTGCTTGTAAAAATTGGAGGCGTCTGCGTATCGCTTCCCACACTCGGTGCAGTGGTAAGGTTTCTCACCCGAGTGAATCCGCAGGTGCGTGGTGAGGTGGTACAGCCGGGTAAACCTCTTCCCGCAAACAGCACAGGGGAAGGGCCTCTCCCGCCAGTGGATTCTCTTGTGCAAAGCAAGTTCTTGCTTCACTCTGAAGCTCTCCCCACACTCACGACATTGGTGAGGCTTTTCTCCCCAAAAGAAGGTCCTTGTTTGGCTTTCTATGTCCTTCAGTTCCTCCCTGGCCTTAAGGGTCGGTGAAGAGAGGAACGCTGGAAACTTTCTAGGCCCTGTTGTTTGAATAGTAAGTTCATCATCTGAAGAGCTGCCCTGTTCACCCAGTCGCTTGTCTTCCTCCCACTCTGAGGACGTTGCCTCACCCATATTCCCCCACGTGTCCTGGGGCGTTTTCAGGGCTCCAGAGTCTTCCTCAGACGGGGTATCCGTGGTCCGGCTGGCAGTCCTGGAGCCTGCTGAATCTTTTTTAGAAAGAAAGGTCATTTTATTCCCATCACCACACTCAAATTATTTTTAGCAACAGGATGCACTTGCGGTGCTTTCTGTTGGACCCCATTTGTACAAACAGCAGAATCATGTGACAGAAGGTCTTCCTGGGCTGTGCCACATCAGACTGCAGGTGAAGGTCAGCATATCTGAATGATCCTCCATTGGGGGGGGGGAACCTCCTTCCATGTTAAAAGTACGTCAGAACAAAGGGATCAACTTAGCCTTCTCTACTGCATGCCAATTTTATAAGAACACAGAGCATTTTCATAATAATAACCAGGGGTCATTTCCTGCGGGAG